CGACATATTTATCCAGAAGCTTTACAACAAAAATGCAGACCTCCGACATGTTGCGCCATCATTCTAAAAGCATCATCAGGCATGAATTGGAAAGTCTGACACACAAAGCTTCTACAATACTTCTGAAATAAAGGCAAAATGTGTTTACATTTTGATTGTTTGGCAGTGTGATACAAATTGTCAACGTCAAAGCAAAACACAGGTTAGGTTTTTATCGTCGCGTTCCTGTGTACATTTGCTAGAGCAGTTCGGGAGCGTCACACTCCGGGTGCATTCAACTCTCAATTCAAAAGCACTGGAAAGCGGCTCCGAATGAGGGCGCAGTGATCGAAGCGAGTACCAGGTACTGCGCATGCGCAGGGAATCTGAGGTTATAGTCCGAGATCCAGCCGTTGGAATCTGCAGGTATCTGTTTTTTAATCAAACTTAATTTCTATGGATGATGAATAATAGTAGAACAGCTTGCCCTGCTGTGATCTATTGTACTATTATTTATCATTCATAAAAATTAAGTTTTGTAAAACCTGTCAAAGCAGCACTGGTACTCCAGGTGTCAAGTTCAGAGTCGTTTTTAGCAATCCTTTTATTTAGAAAATTTTAGATGCACAAATCCGAGAGTTTGGAGTAAATAGTTCAGAATGCTGTCCTGAGTTTTATTCATTTCTCTCTTTAATAAAAAGATGTCACTTGCTGATCAGCTGTCTACCTCAATAGACGTTAAAATATGATGAAATATTGTGGAAAATTGATTATACTGGCATCTTAAATAGCCACACTTACATTTATCCGTTTGTTTTGTAGCCCTGTTCGTACAGCTGTCGCCAACCTGTCAGTGATCGTGTCCAGGATCCCGCCACACAAATTCCGTTCGTTCTGCTACGCTATATAGACGGAATTCACAGTGCCGGATCCCAGATACAGTCACCGACTACTGTGCGAACAAACCTTTTATCGCCGCAAACCACACGTACATATTTATTGAAGCTTTTAATATTCATGATGTCCCAAGAATAACATTTTTCTTGTACAAATATAGAACACAAAAATATATTGTTGAAATAGAGGTACAGGTCCCTAAAGTACTGGAAATCGGTTTTTTCTCAAATAACTTTTGAACGACACTGTATAATTCAACATTTTGACAGGCTAGTAACCAGTTGGGGTCTCACTTGTTGATGTCCATGAAAATAATTAGGCGAACGTGGGGTAATTGGGAACAGCGGGTAAATGGGAACAGCTACGTATCAGCTACGTCCCCCCGCACTACTGCGTCGAGCACATGTTGAATAAACGAAAACGGCGCTTAGTAAGCCCCGAAAGGTGTAAGTGAGAGGTTGCGCGCATGTTGTCACGGTGAGTCTGACAATTTTTTTTTTATTTGTTATAATTTTCGTCGTATCTGGTGATCGATAATGTATTGAGATTTAGGTATTGATCGACATCATTATTCTGTTACCATCTTGCATGTAGTACTTGCTAATAGACTCCACTTAGTTTCAAGGTTAACAGTTATTCTGTATTGTGTAGCGGCCATTTTGATTTGAACTGACTACTTTGGGTAATTGGGAACGAAGACAAGAGGGTAAGTGGGAACGTTCGTAATTACCCCTATTAGCTGGTTGATCAGGTAGTACTGTTTTAATATTAGATAACTGTTTTTAATTGCCTCGAAAAACCACGCCCAAGTACGACATTGAGGATCCACCGGAAAGGAGCACTCCGGGTGGAGCTGCTACCAAATATTCGGTACCTAAAACTACATTATTTAAACAAGTAAAAGCAGAAACATTTAAGTTGCCAAAAAAAGTCGGCACTCTGTATTTAATCATGATCAAGAAGACCAGTTAGAAAGATACATAATCGGTTGCTGCAAGACTTTTTATGGCATAACCCCAAAGTATTGCTTACAGATTTGCTGAAGCTAACAAATTAAATCACGGATTCAACAAAGAATTTCAATTAGGAGGCAAAGACTGGTATTATTCCTTCTTGACTAGACATCCTTCCGTCAGCCTACGAACTCCAGAGGCTACTTTGCTAACAGAATAACCGCTTTTAATGCCACTGAAGTGAAACTATTTTTTGACCAACTAGAAGCCCTGCAAACAAGACATAATTTTTCTATTCATCGAATTTTTAATATTGACGAAACAGGCATTAGCACTGCTCACAAAAATTCTAAAATTTTAGCTCCAAAAGGCTTAACGGGGCTCCTACAATCACTAGCACCATCTGCTGAGGTAACGGGGGGGGGAGAAAAGGAAACGAGGATGGGTTGGGCCTAGACGGTCGCCGGCGCTACTTTAAAAGAGGAAAGGATGACTGCGGGTGCATACCAAGGTAAATTTTTATAATAGCAGAGTCGGATTTCGATTAGCGATCTAGAAGTAAATCGTTTCTTATTTTGGTACTCAGCTAGTGATCATTTAGTATTTTTCTCCCCTTGTGACTGTTCGTCGATATTGTGTTGTTGAATTGTTGTTGGTGTGATTGTTCTTGAGTGCCTTTTTTATCAAGGCTGATAATGGACAATAAAGGGTCATATGCGACCATTTTAATTTCGAATGCAGTGAGTTTAATTCATGATGAGGTCGACAATAGTGTGGAGCAGTTTAACTCTATAATCGCAAAATACATTGGGGTAAGCGAATAAATTATTGCAAGAAGAGGTCATACCATGGAAGATGTGCTGCAGTTGTAGTGAGCCACAATACCCAGCGGCGTGTATATTTGGTCTAAATACATTTGCGTTCTAAGCTTAGTCCAACCTCGCTTATCGCTAAGATGGAAACAGACTCAAACGCAAGAATCTTGAAAAGAAACTAAGACCAAATAAAGCTGACATAAAAATAACTAACAATTCTGTTAGCAATTCCAAAGAAAATGAATAGTTTTATGAAGAATTCAATCAAAAACCTGACATTAACTACATTGATTTGGGGGTTACTAAGCGAACATTTTTAGGGAAACTTGAAAAAAGTGACGACGAGATTTTGCAGATCGAACAAATCACCAAATAACAGGACTGTACTTTGTCGCGCCTTCATCGGAGGATAAGGTTTACAGCATCTCGATTTGGTGAAGTTTGTAGAAGGCAGACAACAAGCTGTAAAGTTCTAGTAAACTCCATCATATACCCAACAGAGTTATCTAGTAACGCAATAAAAAAGGCAATACAAAAATCATGCGACACGGCAGTTCAATCTTGTGGTTTGTAATTTGAGTTCTTGAATTCATTTTAGGAAAGATATCAAATTATGTATTTGAATACATTTTTTCTTAGTCGGAACGCACCGTCGCGTCGCTTGGACTGGCAGGACGAAACAGTAGACGAATTTCGCCCAAAAACCGATTTGCGCTTCACAGCTTACGTTTCATTTTTTATTATTTCCAAATGAAACTCTTGCAGCGTGCTAAAAGCAAAGTCCACATGGTGCTAACGATCCACTTTTTCGATTTTATCCACTAGGATCTTTTTAAAATATCAAGAATTTGAGCACAAATAGTAAATTTCAACCCACCATAATTCTTGCGCAAAGAAAAATTTTTGTAAAACGCTCTGATAGCACCTTAGGCAATTATGTCCTGCTTATATCCAGAAAAACATCACAAACTGCAGAACACAAATTGAACGTAACGGCGAAACGGGTACATTTCACGGGTCATGAAATTCTAATGAAAATTCAGGTAAAAAATCTACCAAATTATCGTTCTCAAAAACATATGTCCTTGGCATATCGATAATTTTAAAGTTCCACGCTAGTGATATCCGAATTTATTCTTCCCTACTGTCGGTAGTTGCAGATCTGTTGGCTCTTGGTGTCAAACCTATAGAACAGGTACCGATTTTTTCAAATCGTGAGCACATTATTCGTCGGATTTTCGTTACTTACATTTCCTGTAATCACTGGGATCAGAAGCTTCTTAATAATAGAACGCGTTTCACTGATATCAAAGATGCAACATTCAGAATCACCTTCCCCCAACCCCCACTTTTTAAGCAGTACAATATTTTTTTCTGTCAATGATAAGGAACCCCTGTAACGTCAAAAACGGAGTGTCAGCAATTGTTACTTTTTCTTTTTTGCCTATAGCACCGTTGCCACTGGACTAAAACTACTAAGCTTTGGCATACTAGTAACCCCGTGTGGAAATTTCATAAAAATCCGAGCGGTTATTTCCAAGTTGATGAGTGATACATTTTTTCGTGATGTACGTATAGATGTCATATGACTTAAAAAACATAACATCTCATTTTAGAAATTTTTCGCGATTACAATACTTCCTCGCCAATGACGTGGGAAGTAAAACGGCTTTAAAATCGAGGAGTATCAGCGATCGCGATTATGAGTACCTATTTGCAGAACGACTTATCTACGCGATATTATATGAAATAGGGCCATCAAATTATCTGAATACGTCCTTTCTTAGTCCGTGCATTGTGCCGCAACGCTTGGGTTGGCAGCACCAAACAGTAGACAAAATTCGTGCAAAATACGATTTGTAGAGGCTTGCGCGCTTCGAAATTGACGCTTTATTTTGATATTTTTGGATGAAATTTTCACAGAGTGCTGAAAACAAAACCCCACAGGGTGTTATAGAGCCACTTTTTAATTTTTTTCACTAGGTTCTTTTTAAAAAACTCGCGAAGTTGAACAGAAAAAGTACGCACTTCAACCCATCATAAAACTTGTGCAAACACAAAATTTCAAAAAGTGCTCCTATAGCACCCTGGGCAATTATCTTCTCAACATACTGTATGAATTTCACTCAAAACTATTGAAAAATGGAGTGTCAGTTTTGAAGCAGCTTGTAAATGGCTTGAAACTCACTGCGTCGGAGGCGCCTTAAAACAAGTAGCAAAAGCGACAAGTGGAGAGCGCGGTGTCACAACAACCATTGTTTGTACTGCTAGCGCCAATGGTACATACGTACCCCCTATGTTCATCTTCAAAAGAAAAAGAATGAGCGAGCTATTACTGTAGGACTGTAATAGAGATATGATTGTTACATTTTCTGATTCTGGTTGGATAAATGGGTCAATATTTGTTCATTATCTGCACCACTTCATTTCTTTTGTTAGACCAACAAAAGAAGATCCAGTATTAATTGTGCTCGATAATCACGAGAGTCATATTAGCCTTGGAGCATACCAGCTTTTTCGAGAACACAACCTGCATGTTCTTTCCTTGAAACCCCATGTATCTCACAAAATGCAGCCACAGGATTTGACTGTCTTCAGTTCGATAAAGAATGCATACAATCGGCAATGTGAACTCTATAAGGTTAACAATCCTGGAAAACGTATAACCCAATACGAGGTTGGAGAATTATAACGAAACAGCTAACATAAGCAAGGCCGTCAGTGGATTTAGGGTGGCTGGAATTTATCCTATTGATAGAAATAAATTCAAAGACTCAGGACCAACAACCGAACCTAGTTTGAACAGACACATTGATCCTAGTGCCATTCAAACACCTACTCAAAATGATACATCGAGTCCTAGAATCGAAACTGATTTAGATGTTACTTTATCCACCTCTGTGCCTCTTGATGAAATCATTAATATACCTATCGTTCCTCAAACAGCAACGTCTTCCAAGCGCCGAAATAAGCATTTCCAAATATTGTCCAGCTATTAAATATCAATTAGAGGAAAAACAGAAAAGACAAATAGAGAGGACAATCAAAACAGAAAAAGTGTCAATAAAAAAATCAGAAAAAACATAATAAAGCAGAGGAAATGAAAGCACAAGTTAAAGGCAAGGGAGTAAAAAATTTGACGAAAGACTTAGAGGACAATGAAAATAAAGAAGTTTATTACTGTATAATCTGCGGTGAAAAATATGAATCACCACCTAGAGAAGATTGGTTCATGTGCGTCATTTGTACCAACTGGGCACATGAGGAATGTACCACCGGCCAATCTCGTAAGGGTTACATTTGTGATTTATGCAAGTAATTGTAGTATTCATAAGAATGTAACTATGTCGCTTCCGATCACCTTATATCGTTCCTATTTCCCCGACGGACTGATCTCAATTACCCCACACCATATCGGGTAAAAAGGAATGATAGTGTTTTTTATTTTCTATTTTTTTATTGTTTACTTTGTTTTGAAGCATTTGAGTATCGTTATGTAAGTAAATCACCAAACTTACTATTGCAATAAATTTTGATTACATTTGTAACGCTTTTTTTATTATTTTTTTGTGTTTTAAAATAGGTTGTTCCCAATTACCCCACTTTCCCCTAACTCATTTTGATCACCAGGAAGCAGCCAGCCCTAACGCAGTAATGCTGATATTTTTCACACATTGTAATTAGACAAGCCATCATTAAATGGCTCAACAAGTATTATAATGCATGAAATTCATAAGCTAAAAACATATATTCTTGTCTGATTCCGATCAAGTGAGCCGGTTTTAAAATTCGATTGGGCGATCTGAAAATGCATATGCTTTGTAGTTTTCCGGGTCGCTGTTTGCGAATCCATTATCAATATTACTACAACTCAAAAATAGACTTAACGGTCCTTTACAACGGCGAGAGGGGGAGGAGGGTTGGACGTCTTTTGGGAGCTGTCAAAATTTCATTGAATTCAAAAGTACGTTCAAAAGTTATTTGAGAAAAACCGATTTCCTGGGATCTGTATCTCTGTAGGGGAGCCATTATTTCTTAGAACTTGTGATTTTTTTCTTCTATAGCATGGGAGAGGTTGATATGTTATTCTGGGACACCCTGTAAAAAATAGGTAAAATCACCTTTGGTAAAACGGCTTGGAATAAATAATTGCTCAATGGCAACTCGCTTTTACTCACTGCAGTCAGAACGTACACATTCACGAAATCCTTTGGTTTATCTTTGGATATGTGTAAAGTTACGGAAATCTTATTTTTCTCTTCCATCAAAGTAATTGGTGGTATATTGCTGGGCCTAATATCCTCCAATTTCACGAAAACATCGCTCAGTTTTATGTCGTGCCTTTTTGAGTCTTGGATTGTTTTTTTTTCATTATTCATGTTCGGTATACTAGGAGATCCAACATTTGAAGCTTTATCCACAACCAACATTTTTTCGTCACTAATATCTACAAGAAAATCATCACTACTATCCATAGCATTTTTTGATTCTTCTGATGACGTGTTCATTTTATTATTTGCTTGAAGCAGGTAGTTTAAGTCTAAATTCAAAGTTTCAGCAAGTACAGTGGGTGTATCTTTCTCTCCTGACTTGGTCAATAGGTTCATGGGCACTTTGTCATGAGATTTACTGAAAAGTCCAGAGCGGATTCCCTGGAGGTTCTCCTTTAAGAATTGCTCACCAAGCACATCTAGATCCTCCAAGGCTTTGAATTTGTTTTGTCGCATTTCTTTGTCATCATCACAAACGCTTATTTTATCTAAAAAGATGAAGAATAACGAATAATGAGTATAAAAACAATACAATACACAGAGATTCTTAAGAGAGTTGCAAATATATGTACAAAATTAACAAGCAAAGTTCCTATAAATATGAACCCTAAAATCCTTCCTTACTGAGATACATGACGTTGAATTTATATTTAAAATGGCAATCTCTCGGGTGCATATACAGGGTATTTCAAACTTTACCATTGGGATATCGGAAACTGTAAGAGATAAGAAGTCGCTTAAATGGGGACAAAATTGCAGATTTGAAGAGTGCTAATTCAAAATCGCCTAGGTGTCACATTTGGGAATTTTCGAATTTCAGAGATTTTAAGGCCTATGTACCATTGCCAATACTAAACCAATCAGTCTATGTGCCAGTCAATAATCTGCAGTTCTATATACGTATTTCAAATTCGCCTATAGTCTATCTCCACTAACATATGTATATGTGTTTCATTAATTTTGCAATAAAACCTTTTTGGCACTTACACGCTTTTGAATTACCACTATTCATTTATGTAATTAACAAAATTCCGCTTAGAAAGTTTCGAAATTCAAAGTACTACCGGAGACCGACGGGAAATACAGAATTTTCCCAAAATCGTTATATTTCCTGACTTTATTTGTAGTGGGATTTTAAAATGAATTACACATCAAAATTGCCACTTTATGTCATAATTAGGATTTCAATATGACGTTTCGTCTCTTGTCCTCCAGCATCAACTTTTTTATATATATATAAAGAGAAAATTATCAATCGGAGAAGGGTATATAACAAAAATAGGAAAATAATGGACAAAATCCGCAAAAAGTGGATTCGACAAGAAAATAGGATATAGATAACCCGAGCGATACGTATTTCTGCTGGTTGGCTTCATCAGGCCCGAAATGAATGCACATATGCAACTACAAAAGTAGAGACACATGCCCATACATCCGGATACGGGTGTAACCTGAGGAAACAAAGTTGGAGAGGAAAAAAAAGACACACGAAGTCCACAACAAGAGCCAACCTACACATTGTAGTATAAAATGGCTAGAAGACCTCGAATTTTCAAGGCGACAAATAACCACAACCACGCGGCCGGTTATAGCCACATCCTATTTTCTCTTTGTAGATCCTTTGGGCTTGAAGTACCACAGCAAGTGGCTATATATATATATAGGTGAAAAATTAAAGCTTCCGCCTTTTGTTGGGTACTTCGACATATACTACATACACCTAACTGGTCTAGACGACAATGACCACGTCTCAAGTTATATATATATACACATTTGGTCACTGCTTTAGAACTGTTAAATAGTGATATTAAAAATTACGAAATGGTTAAATGTTATTAAACCTAAATTGAACACTAATGAAAAAAAATGTATGTCAATAGGGAAACATTTAGGTGACAATACAATTAGGCTCATGATTAATGATGAAAAAATTGAAGTAGTTGAATCATTTACATATTTGGATATAGTATATGTGGATAGTAAACTACCGTTCCACGAGAATTACCAATACATTATTTCAAAAATATCAAAAAAGACAACTTACTTCTTGAGTTTCTCACAATCTTAGTATGTATTCCAAAAAAAATATCTATAACACTATAATTCTTCTCTATTTTTTATATTGTTCAAACATTTTGTCTACAGTAAATGAAAACATATTTTCAAAATTACAAATTCTACACAATGGAGCTATGAGAATCATTCTAAATGAAAATAAATATGCTAGGATTAAGTCTATGTTAGAAGAACTACAATGGTTGAATGTAAAAAATTTCATATGTTATTTAGTTCTCATTTTCATATTCAAATTAAAAAATCACTAATTACCACCGCATTTAGAAAACACACAATTAAATAGTCATTATCATAACTACGAAACTAGAGGCAGTATAGATTTTAATCTGCAAAATTAGTAGCATAACTAGCAAATCTGTATTTCAAAAGGGAGTATTTGAATTTAATAAATTGAATAACATATTAAACAGTGTTCAAATTTAAAATCGTTTAAGGTGAAATTAAAAATCACTATGAATATTAAAAATCACTTTATGAATACTCAAAATGCATAGTAATGTAATTTTAATATATATATATATATATATATATATATATATATATATATATATATATACAGGGTGACTTTGAAGTTGAGTCATTAATTTTCAGATAATGATTGTAGAAGGAAGATAAACCAAAATATGTGTGTAAAAATAAAAAAAAATACCTTGTTTTATAAAGTATCCTCCCGACAAGTATTTCAGTGCGGACCTGTATTTGATCGTGAGGTCTTGGAGCACCGGCATGCCCTCCCCTGTGAGGTCTTAAGTCACCTGATTCACGAGCCCGTTGTACTACATTAACAAAGGGACGAGGGGTTGGTTGCACTCGATTGGGAAACCGATCCGCATAAACATGTGCCATTTTTTATTTCGTTTGAGCAACGCAGCAAACACCACTACTCACTCACGCGTTACCGACTGACACATTGACTGAATAAAAACATCGTGATCAGCGTTTCAAATTCTTTCGCTTTTTTGTTTCCGATGCGATGAACCGATAAGGCGGATTATATCCGTTGTCGCCAAACACGAGCACATAATATTATTATTGAGACAGGGCGGTACTCAAACTTCTAAAGGGCTATAACTTTGTTACTTTAATTTTACCACCAAATTGTTAAAGGAAAAAAACATTTCTTTTGATCAGATCTACTCACTGTTAAAATAAATGACTCAACTTCAAAGTCTATATATAATGTATATATAATCTAAAACCTTATATACCCGTAACTAATCAGTTATTATATACAAATTGTTAAAGGAAAAAAACATTTCTTTTGATCAGATCTACTCACTGTTAAAATAAATGACTCAACTTCAAAGTCTATATATAATGTATATATAATCTAAAACCTTATATA